TCTTATAGGGTTTATACTGAGTACAATATTGTATAACTGTAATAATTCAACTGTAAACCTAAAAATTTACAGCCAAATTTGAAAGAGATGCATCCTACCTCAGGAAAACGTTATTGAATATGTCAATTGTGTTGTAATGATATACTTCTTCTAAGTATGTTGTTATTAAATAAATCATTTTTAAAAATTAAAAAAAAAACAAAAAAAAAACAAAAAAAACTGTAGGTAAAATATAAAATACCAGTTACTTGGTGACTGTGGCTATAAAAATAGTATAAAATGCTGGAGCCACCACTGCACACGAAGCTGGGGGTCATGCGTGATTCTGCACATTGGTTCACTGTATCTGCTGTCCTTTAACAGGCCACATTACTCCCTCACACAGTATACAGCAGTCCATAAACCTCTGTGCTGTCTCTTTAAGTTCACTCTCCCTAAATTGTGGCTTTGCATCTGTCCAGTCTCAATCCTGGCCTGTGTATCTGGCTCAACTTCATTCTTCAAAAATGCCTTCCCTGGTGGATTTCAAGTTAGAACAAACAGCAATCTTACAAGAAATCATACTGGGAAGGGGAACAACTATCTGATAACTTGTAAAATGGTATTGCACCTAACGTTATTCAGAGTTCCACTTTCATAAGGAGCTGAATGCAAGCATACTGTGAAGTCAGAGAAGTGTGGCATACCTCCAGAAAAAAGTTAACCAAGTAGGGATCCTGTTTCAGCTTTGCACACACGATGCAGAGAAACTGAATCTCTTCATTTTCCGTTGGTGTTGCAAGGACTTCACCACACAGTCGGATTAATTTCTGTTAAAAATAATTTTTTAAACTTTTAAAGTATGTAACTAGTCATTCATGACCTTAAATATATTTAAAATTTTCAAATAATTAAAAAAAACCCTTTCCATTAAATAGAACACAGCAATGGTTACAATTACCTATATCAAAATAAATTTATGAGTTCAGTAAATTTTCAAGTATATTACAACTAAAAAATTAATGAGGTATATAATAAACTCTTTTAGTGATGCCACGGAGGTAAAGTAAAAAGAAAATTAATGTAGGCTGGGCATGATGGCACTCACCATTAATCCCAGCACTCAGGAGGCAGAGGCAGGCAGATCTCTGTGAGTTCAAGGCCGGCTTGGTCACATACACAGTTCAAGGCCAGCTGGGGCTACAGAGAGACTCTGTTTCAAAAAGACCAAAAAAAAGTATAAAGAGAAATATAAAAATGAAGATAGATAAGAAAACACCAAAATGTTTGCTGATTTTCATGCTATTTTAGAAAATTTTCTTCTATTAACTTTACTCTTAGAAAAACAATTTATGGGGCTGGAGAAATGGCTCAGTGGTTAAGAACACCAGTTGTTCTTGCAGAAGACCCAGGTTTGAATCCCAGCACCCACGTGGCAGCTAACAGCTGTCTGTAACTCCAGTCCCAGGGGATCCGAAAGCCTCTTCTGACCTCCGCGGGCATTGCACGACACAGGTGCACTTACCTACATGCAGGCAATACACACATACACATAAAATAAAAATAATAAATAAAATTAAAGAAAAAAAGAAAAACAATTCAAAGTTACTTGTATACTAAATTTGATAATTTGATGTAATTTGAAGTAAGGGGAGAGGATACCTGCACAGGCCTGTGGACGTTAATGTGTGGGAGCAGCGGCTGCCGGATTCTTCCCAGGAGCTTAGTGTAGAACACCAAAACCTGCTGTTTCATCCCTGGAGGACACTGGGCACAGGAGAAAAGGGAAGCGACAGAACAGATCACACACTTGCACACAAATGCTTGACAGACAGCACAGACCATGTCTACTGACCTAGTCCATCCTCAAAGACAATGCCATTGGCCAGTTCATGACTGTCAGAATAAGTTTCTGTTAACAGTAATGAGTGGCATTCTAGAAACATGATCATATATCTGAGGCCATGATACAGCATGGATAATGTGTTGCTGAAACTGTAGTTGGCTTTAAGCAAAGTCAGGCGGGTAAATGCTGGGTGATAGGGAGTCATGAGAGTTAACTACCTGCCAGAGTGAGGGCAGAATCTTGTTATACAACAAGACAAGCAACCACTAACTTCCCATCATCCACAGAGACAAATAAAGTCTAATATGCATACTTCATAAGAGGAATAGTTTATGGCATAAACTATTTTAATATTTTATACCAGTTGCAAAAATACTCACTTTATGATTATTATGGACAAAGAATATTTACTAAAAGTTTTTATAGCATGTCAGCTATTTACTGAAAAATCGTAAGCCTGATGATCACTTACACTGTAGATTAAGAGAGCATGGGTCAACCAATTCTACGTTCTGTAACAGCCACTGTCTACAGTTAAAGCACAGTCACAAAATGTGCTATTCCTAAGGCATCATCAGAGACTCTACCTGGAAATAGTCCAAATATAATCTTAAGCACAGTAATAGTTTTGGACTGCAACTACTTTATATTATTTAGATAAAATACTACTAATATTCACAATCACATGTCAGAAATAGATTTACTACTAGTAGTAACATTTTGCTAAACCATTAATATCGTATTCTATTCAGTGTTGTAAAATCCTTTACTCCAAAGGACAGGGAAAAGAACAGAGGGTGAGAATACATTTTAGGTTACTAGGGAGCAAGTCTATTCTTCCAGCCTGATCTACATAGTGAGTTCCAGGCCAGCTGGGACTATAGGGAGACCTTGTCTTAAAAAAAATAAATAAATAAAATTATGAGGAAAAAGGAGTGTGAGTGAGTTTAACTTAAATATACTTCAAAATGAATTTGCTATTATAGAGTTAGTTAAATGGAAACTGTCTTTAGTACTATTCAAAACTACTTGGTCTGCTAGCTTTAGTTTGTTTTTTGCATTTATTGCAGAAATTCACATAACAGAACCATAGAGTTTTAGAGCTTACAATTATTTCCAAGTTTTTAAAGATCAGCCAAAGACTTGGTAAGGTCACAATGTGTGGCTTTACTGTCTTTTCTGTGTTCAAAGATACTGAGAATTTCACTGCGATCACCTACTACTCTGCAAGGTAGCATGGTGCACACGTTTGAGGTCTAGGAGGGTAGTGGGCGGCATCGTGTAGTTGGTGTTAGTGCATTCTTTGGTGTCTTCCATACAACAACAAAAGGCATTTGACATATTTCTCAAAACATTTCCCTGTCACTAAGGATGCATGAATATAATGTGAAACTTTCTGCGATACAAAATACTATTTATGTGATATATATGATATACTAGCTCGGCAAAAGTATTTAAAAATTCATGAGGCCTAAAATTTGAATTTCATTCACTGTTGATTCACTGGATGTCAGAATAATCAATGACACTCTCTTTTAGAACTCTGAAAATAATCCTTGGGACCCTGATGACACCAGGTTCTTCTCACTCCCTTTGACCATGAGCACATACACTTGAGTTTATCTTTATGAACGCTCACAGTAGGATTCTAAACAGCTAAGTACCACCTGTGGTCCAGAGCCCTGGGGAGCTCTGCTTTCTCTATGGATTTCATAGTCACACAAGTCACGCTAATTTCTCCTCACATCTTGTCTTTTTTTTCCTTTCCCCAGGGCCGAGGACCGAACCCAGGGCCTTGTGCTTGCTAAGCAAGCACTCTACCACTGAGCTAAATCCCCAACCCCCTTCCCCTCATATCTTAACCTTAGCCCTCTATCTCTACAATTAAACTGAGCATTTGGCACCCTATTCCACAGCATTACTGTGTGTTATGTGCCAAGAACACAGTGTAGGGTAGGAACTTACATCAGCCTTCCCTAAGGTATACAGTGTTTCTAGGATCTTGTGATGGAGCAGGTACTCCATACACGGCCCCGTCTCTCCAGATTCCCGCTCATTTTCCTCTTGAACCAGTATGTCTAACATCTGTTCCAGATGAGATGGAATGTTTGTATCGGTCACTGGGGCTTTATCATCTAAACAGTAGAAAAAGGCAAACACTCAAGTACTTTGAAACTTTATATTCACAAATAAAATACCCTCCCTTTGCCCCCATTTCAAGTCAAACAGAGAAATCTGAGCCACGTGTGAGTTTTACACATTTATTTTTGCTAGCTCCAAGGTGAGCCCTCTGTCATATTCTTATCAATAGTGGTCAATATCCTGAAACATATTCTGCCAGCTAATGTTCAACTGTAAACATTTAGAAATAACCCCGGAAGACAAGCTAGTTTCTGTTGTCCACTCTGTCATTCCTGACCTCCCAACCTTTCGATGCTTTTTGGTTGCTACTTTCCATCTCATGAGTTCTATCAGCCTTTAAAGCCTAGGCCAGATTGCAGTTCCAATTTCTTCTCTATTCACCCTCTCTCTGCACCTGAAGCTCTACCTCAGACTTGATGTGGCCCTGACCTCACTGTAATGCACACACTTGTTTCTGCTACTAGACGGAGAAAAAGCTGTTTATAGCAAGACTTTCTGCATTTCTTTAAAGCCCCAGAGAAGGAAAACAAATCACAAAGGCTAAGAATAATATTTTAAAAGACAGCTCCTCCCAAAAAGGATCTCTAGGGATCTGTCAGTTAAACATCAAATAAATTCTAGTGAATGTAAATTACATTTTATGTTTAAAGCTTATTGTGTAGATATAAAGGATTTTTTCTTTTTTAAAATTTAAATTAATTTATATTTTATGTCTATGAATATTTTGCCTGCATATATGTAAGTGTACTCACGTGTGCAACGCCCATGAATGAAAGAGGGCATCAGATCCTCTGGAACTGGAGTTACAGAGGGTCATCAGCCACCATGTGGGTGCTGTGAGCCAAACCTTGGCAGCCAGTGCTCTTAACCGCTGAACTACCTTTCTAGCCCAATTTTTTAAGCATGAATTACCTATGACCTCATCAGCTTCCCAAATCAACTATTCTCATTTTTTTCACCCTTCCTTTGGTTAAATGAAGTATGTCCCCATATCCTGTAGTGTCTAACTACACAGTCCTTAGGGAGCACAGTACAAATAACAGGCTGTCAAGCCTTGGCACGTGGGACATATGCAACCCTACCATCAGTTCTTAAAAATAAAGTTGTGCTGCAACCAAGGAACGCCCACTCCTCTATGTTTTACTGAGGGCTGCCTTTGCACTTCAACAGCACAGGGTAAGGTGTGCCAAGGAGACCATGGCCTATAAAGCCTGGAATATAAACTACCTGGCCCTGCATAGAAAAAAATCTACTCACCCTTAAACTAAACTATGCATATTCCCCCTATTATCTTCCATCCTTCCACTTACTGATAAAATAGAAGCAATCAGGAGATACCTTCTAAAGATTCTTTACACCACACTTACCCCTGGCCTGCATTTGGACCTGTTCGGCTTTCTGCTTGTTTTCATGAATAAGCTGTCTACCTGCTTCCTACAGGCCAAGTCTCCACATGAACACTATACACTACATCGTCTCTTCCCACCACCCGGTCCACACCACCGTTGTCTCACGTGAATCACAGCAATGGTGCTCTCAAAGTTCTGCCAATTTCCTGTAGTGACTCTAAAGCTAAGCCTTTTCACAGAAGCTGAAGTGACTGCTTAATCACAGACTACATTACAGCTCTACTCAAAACCCTCCAAGGCTTCCGCAGTAGAGCAAAGCAGAAGTCCCTAGGATGGCTCAGGAGGCCCTTTGGGGACCCCCTCGCTCTGCAGTAGTTCTGGGATCCACTGGGCAGGAACGTGCTCCTAGGAGCCTAGCTTGGTCCTCTTTCTGGGATACCTCCTCAATTATCCACCAGGCTTGGCTCGTCTAACTTCATATTTCAGCTCTGAAAGGGCTTTAGGCAATGTGCCTTCTATAACCTGGAGTAGTCATCAGTCACCTCCATCCCCAAATACAGGCCCTCTCCCTCAACACTTATCTGACACACTTAAGCATTTTTCCATTACCTCCCCAAGGCAATATATAAGCTCTTCCAGAACAGGGCTGTTGTGTATCTGACTGACAGCTCCATTCCCTAGCCCAGAATAATGCCTAGCACATACACATACAGCAGATACTCAAAGATACTTGTTTTAAATGACCCTAAAAGCTGAATCAGAGGTAAAATTGTTTAAAGTTAAAAATATAATAACTGAACTTATCCTGAAGTAGATCTTAGTGTCAAACACATTTCTGTTTAATCGATACCGGCACTGGTCCTTACCTGAAGTTTCTATGTAGTGATGGGTGATTGCCTTCCAGTGATAGACAAAATCCTCTTGTAAAGGCAGAGATGGTGCAAGCTACACAAACACACAAAGACCACGATTAAGAGCACAGTATTAGAAGTCTCCCATAAAGTTAGCCCTACACTCACCCACTATGACACAAAAACAGCATAAAAAGAAGGGTTGGACTTGTTTCTATATGTCCTATATCAGAAAGAAACAAAATGAGTTGAATTCAAGAAAGTAAAATGGCCAGGCGTGGTGGCGCACACCTTTAGTTCCAGCACGTGGGAGGCAGAGGCAGAGGCAGGCGGCTCTCTGTGAGTTCAAGGCCAGCCTAGTATACAAAGTGAGTTCAGGCCAACTGGGGCTATAGGGAGACCACGTCTCAAAATACCAAAAAAAAAAAAAAAAAAAAAGGAAAAGAAAGAAAGTAGTGATTTGTCGAGAAGAAAAACACATTTATCACCATTATTAATAACCTAGTGTTTGACTTCTCCCCCATTCTGTTACCACGTGACTTCAAAAGTGATTAAACCAAAACATCATTAATCTATGACTGAGGTATCTGCAAAATAGAATTACTGATAACCAGAGGGCTCTGTACCTAGGACTTTGGAAGGGAAAGAAGCAAAAGGCAGCGCTGCAGTTAGTCACACATCAGCACCACAGACACACAGCAAAGCCAGCATCATAATCAGACCGCACCGCTCCCTACTTCTGACTGATGTAAATCTTTTCCTGTGTAAGCCTGGATTAGGCAGTATGTATTTTTAGCAAAATAACTACAGGAACAAGACACTACCAATTTAAATTCCACAAAAATCAAAGACATTTTACATTTTAAGCTTTGAAATGTACTTTAAAAGTTTTAAGACCAAAATTTTATCCCTTCAGCCATCTTACTACAAACCAACAAGCATTTGGGAATGTATGTTACACAGAGAAAGGCTCAGTTCCACCCTCTCCAACGATTTTTCTTTAAAAAGAGTGAGAGGGCTGGGCATGGTGCACACACTTAATCCCAGCACTTGAGAGGCAGAGGGACGTGGATCTCTGTGAGTTCAAGGCCAACCTGGTCTACATAGCAAGTTCCAGGGCAACTGGGGCTATGGGGAGAAAAAGACCAACAACAAAAAATTTAAAAAGAGAGAGAGAGAGAATGAGAAATCCCCTCATTCTCAAGCTATAGGTCAACTTTGGTCAGAAAAGTACAGCACTGACCTAGGTTAGTTTAGAACGAGCAGGTTTCTGTTCAGGGAAGCAAGTAGTGTAGCTCTTCATCTTCCTACGCCTCCTCTACAGTGCCAGGAGTGTCCCACCCTTTGACACTGTGACCAGATGCTGTCATCTACAAAGCTCACACTTAAGAACCTCACTATTCACACACACACACACACACACACACGCACGCACGCACGCGCACACACACACACACACACACACACACACCCATCGCCATCATGTCTTGGGTAAGTTTATGAGTATGTGTTGGGCCTCAGGCTAGGAACCTGCCAGGTGACCTGCAGCAGTCAGGTTTCTCCTGTGCTTCTCCTTGCTGCATGCTGACTCTTGGTTTCCTCCCCAGGGACATCACAGTTGCCAACCCTGTCAAAACAGTTTCTCAACTATTGTGCAACTATGGGTATTGGTCACAGAGATGTTGTCTCTACCCAGAAGGTGAAATGTATTTATGAAGAGAAAGTAGAACTGAAAAATTTTCAATCACTGGCATCGTAAAGCTGACTCTTTCTACACGCCGTCATGTGCACCACTCAGTACAGAATGAAGACAACACAGTAAAAAGGATGCTGTAAAATTTCCTTAGAAAGACTTCACAGGGAGAAAGAGACCTTTGGGAGTACGTAACTTTATAGGGTTAAATGTACTTTACATGGTTAAATGTAACAAGTAGGACAAACAGAAGAGGCAATCACTTTTTCAAAACAATGTCCCTAGTTTTTTAAGGTATATCACAGTTTTTCCTCTTTCCAGGTTATCCCCAGTGGCACCGCACAGTAAGTCACTGACCAGATGCTTTACGGGATTTGTATGGGGGCCTTTGCCATAAAATACCATCAAATCCCAAGCAGGATGCTGTTATAATTACTTTTTGCCCAGTAGGGAGACAGCTGAACACTTCTAAATAGCTAATAACTTAGATGAGTAACAGTATTATTCAAATGTGAATACATTTTCTTCTGCAAAATGCTAGCAAACTTGCCTTTTTTGTTACTACTATGCAAATTATCTGTTTTATCATTGCATAAAACATTTATCCTCTGGGTTTAAAAAAAAAGGTGTGTGAATCAGCATGAAGAGACTGCAATTTAACTTTTTAGCATACAGAGATTAAACTTTTAAAACTTTGAGCAATCATTACCTCAACCCAAAATGGACAGGAACACCCATCTGAGACTTCCTGTCCTCAAGAAGTCTTTTTCCTTCCCATCTCACAGCACCTGTTACTAAGGCTCTCTCCTAGCCTTTACCCCACTTAACTATTGCTTAATTATCCCTCTCCTCCACTAGGCTATAAACTGGACACGGACAGGGATGGAGTCATCTTTTTCATCATGCAGGCTCTTGTTTCCAACTCAATGATGGTAGTATTTTATTTATTTCACGAAGAAATGAAAGGCTCACTAGTCAAGGACATTTGATAATAGTATATACAGGTTAGCACTACAAAGTTTATACATACTGTAGAGGCTCTGTGTGTGTGTGTGTGTGTATGTGTGTGTGTGTGTGTGTGTGTTACTGGAGATTGAACACAGGGCCTTAGAAAGGTTAAGCAAGTACTCTACCACTAAGCCACATCCCCAGTCCTCTTGTTGCTTTTTATTTTGCAGCAGGGCAGGGTCTTACTACATAGCCCGGGCAGGCTTTGAACTTGAGATCCTCCTCTCCAGCTGTCTGAGTAAAGGTATTCCAGGTGTGTGCCACCATGCCCAGTCACAACAGTCTTATACTCTCATGAGAAGTTCCTACTCTGCTCAAACTCCTATAAAGAACCAAAAACCAGGTAACTGACTTGCCTTAAGAAACAATGCTTTTCACTGGAAAACCTGGACTTTCTCCAACATATCCAACACACAAAAGAACTTCCATCAACAACTCCAGTGATAACTAGCGTTCTAACCTCCACCTCTGCTTTGTGTCAAGGAACATGCACATTCTACACCCAGATCAATTAAATCCTCTTCCTGCCACAAACCTACTTTTATCTTTGTTTTGTTGCTTTTATTTAATTTTGTTTGTTTTAAACTTGATCTCATGTAGCCTAGGATGGCCTGAAACTCTTAGGTAGCTGGCTTTGAACTCCTGATCCTCCTGCCTCCACCTCCTGAATACTGGATTACAAGAATGGGCATCCTTGCCTGACTGTTTTTCTTTTCTTTCTTTCTTTCTTTCTTTCTTTCTTTCTTTTTTTTTTTTGTTGTTTTTGTCTTTTTTGAGACAGGGTCTCCTTGTAGGCCCAGCTGTCCTGGAACTCACTATGTAGACCAGGCTGGCCTCGAACTCACAAAGATCTGCCTGCCTCTGCCTCCCAAGTGATGGGATTAAAGGTGTGTGCCACCATGCCAAGCCTTTGTTTTTCTTGAGACAGGTCTTACTCTATAGCCCAGGCTGGCCTGGATCTTACTATATAACCCAGGATGGTCTCAAAGTCATGGAGATACACGTATAAGCCACCACACTGGGCTTTCTCTGAAGTTTTAAAAGACCTTAGCTTTTCTGCCTCGCCATTAGCTCAAGTCTCAAGTAGTTGCAGAGACCTTTCTCCAACTACTCCAAAGTGCCTGCTCCCTTCCTCTAAGATCCCCCTGGCCTGGTCAAGCCAATCATCGGAACAATAGCAGCTGGAAACAAAGCACTCCTATACATCCCATTCTAACCTTTGCAAAAATCCTACGAGATGGATCTAATTACTTCCATTTCATGAGGAAGAAAATAGAGTATACAGACTTAGGTAACTTTCATGTAGGTAGAGAAGAAAGGGACAGAGGCTAGAACCTTGTTCTGTCTGGCTCTAGGGTCTAGGGGCTTTACTGCATTCTTGTGCATTCCTTGCACAATGATTTAATGTGTGTACTTTCTTTCTTTCTTTTTTTTTTTTAATTAAGACAGGGTCTTCTTGTAGCCCCAGCTGGCCTGGAACTCTCTATGTAGACCAGACTGGCCTTGAACTCACAGAGATCTGCCTGCCTCTGCCTCCGGAGTGCTGGGACTAAAGGCGTGTGCCACCACTCTTTATTTCTTAAATTAGACTATAACCACTGTGATCAAGGATACAGATACACCTTGCTTTGTTAGCACTGTGTGGCTCATAGAACACTTGTTGAATAAGAAAAGGACTCAAGTTGGGCATCACTTACTGGAAAAGAATACACTTAAGAAAACACACCTTGTGTTTGATGTTTATATTTCAGTCTCACAACAGAGTAGATTTTTTTTTTTTTTTTTTTTTAAAGAACTGCAAGCCAGCGGCAATGGTGCATGCCAGTGGGAAAACTGCTGGAGAGGCAGGGGGATCATAGAGTTCAAGGCCAACCTGGGTTACACCTTTAGGGTTGGGACGGCTTGGGATAGAAAGCTTGCCCAGGATACAAGAGGCCCAAGTGCAGTCTCCAGGCCTGGGGAAGGGATGTTTGACCCAACAACTGTCATTACTCTTAACTATAATTTGAAAAGAAAACAATGCATTTTGAAGGATGACATCCATTGAACTGGTTAAAATAGATAAAAGCTCACAAACCTGTCCTTTACCGCCTCCCTCAAGGGTAGAATTAGGTGGAATTTAAACTGCCTAGGACCTAGTTCTCAACAAATACTAAATAGAATGATTTATCCTTCAGAAAACTGCTAAGTCATCTGATCTAACCTTAGGACTAAGCTCAGGACACGTTCGATTTCAGACTTGAGACCTGACAACTGGCTAACAGAACACCCTCATTTCTTAAGACTCACCTGAAGGGAGGCGAGAATTACAGTAGAATTTTCACTTTTCGTCAAAATATAAATTTCCCTCCCTTCCTCAAAATGCAGTCTATCAAATGTGAATCTCTGAAAATATTTTATATTTTTCCTTTTTGCAAGGAAAAATTACTGTTAACAGTAATGAGGAAAAAACATGCCAAGAGTGGTAGCATATACCTGTGACCCCAGCGACCTGAGAGGATGAGGCAGGAGGATAACAAATTCCAGGAAAGCCTGGGCAACGTAGTGAGACCCTATTGCAAAATACAAATTATAGGGGGGTGGGGCACTGAGATGGCTAAGTAAAGAAGCTTGCCACCAAGTCTGACAACCTGAGTTCAGTCCCCAGGACCTATAAGGTGGAAGGAGGGAATTGACTCCCCGCAAGCTGTCCTCTGACCTCCACACTTGCTCCATGGTAACATACACACATAGTGCGCATGCGCACGCACACACACACACACACACACACACACACACACACACATAAAAAAGTTCATAATAAAAATTTTAAAAGGGCCAGTGATAAAACTGTGGTAGAGTGTTTATCTAGCATTTACCAAGGGCTTGGGTACAAAACAAAACAAAATACTACAGCAAACGAGGCTGGGTATGCTGGGAATGGTGGCACATGCCTGTAATCCTAGCTCTTGGGAGGTAAAGGCAGGAAGATCAGGAGTTCAAGATCATCTATGGGTAAACAGCAATTTCGAGGCCAGTCTAGGCTATAAGAGATCTGTCTCAAAAACTAAACAAAATAATAAACCCCCAAATTCCACCATCTAACTTCATTTAAATGAATATACATCTGGCCAACATTAAAACAACAACAAAAATGAAGGCTTATCCAATTGAACGTGGAAACCTAGACACTGTTAATACCAAATGGCTGGGAAGCATTGCTCTGCAGAAACAATGCTAAATGAAAAAAGGTCTGGTCACCTGCAGGTCTAGGGTTCCCTCCCACCCCTGAAGAACCCAAATAATTATGTCACTGGAATATTGCATCAGAAAGTAAAAGGAGAGAGGGAAATCCAGCAAACTAAGGAACAGTAACATTTGTTTACAGAATGGGGAAAAAACAAAACAAAACTGAATCACCAGAAACTAAATCTTGGGTTATGAAAAGAACATTCCTAAAATACCCAGGATGGCTTATTTATCATCACGTATGAGTTCCTACCCAGGAGAAGGTTAAAAGGAAAAAAAAAAAAAAAAGTGTATTAAAATTTTTTCTTCACAGGCCATGGGGGAATAAGACTATAATCTCACTACTGGGGAGATGGAAGCAGGAGGATCATGAGTTCAAGGCCAGCCTGGGCCACATGAGACTCTGCCCCAACAAAACAAAGCCAACAAACCAAACAAAGCCAAACATTTCATGAGCAGCGTTTCCTCTCACGCAACTGTGTGGGTGGCAGCACAGCTGGAAACACTAGCTCTGAGCAAATGAACTGGCCATTTCCAGAGGCAAGGCATTTATTTATTCATAGGACCCGGTGAATCGAATTCACTTTTAATTTCTTCCTCGGTGACCTTAGCAAAATAGAGGAACTGGGTATTAAAGAACCACAGTCTTTTAAAAAAATATATTTATTATTTTTATTTTATGTGTATGAGTGTCTTGTCTGTATATATGTAAGTGCACCCGTGTTGTGCAATGCCTGTGGAGGTAGAAGAGGGTGTTGGAGCCCCTGGAACTGGAGTTACAAATGGTTGTTAGCCACCACCTGGGTTGTGGGCACCAAACCTGGGTCTTCTGTGAGAGACACTGAGCCAGCTCTCCAGCCTCAGAACACAGTCTTACATGGACAATTTGGTAGACGCCAATGACACATCCAATTATAAAAAAGACTATGAGAACAAAAAACACAGACCTCAGCACAAAAGTGAGCCTCTAAATCATAAATTCCAGCTATGCTCAGTGGCACATGCCTATAATTTAACACTGTAGAGGCTGAGGCAAGAAATAGCATTCAAGGAGAGCCTAGGTTCCAGGGTGAGCCAGGTTGGGAAACTTAGTAAGATCCTGTTGTAAAATAAAAATTTAAAGAGCAGGAGATATAGCCTAGCATATAACAGGCCCCAGAATTCAATCCTCAGTATAGGAAAATGAATTCTTATTTTCAATGATCTCAATATTAATTCAGTTAGTTCAATTTTAAAGTTAGATGACTCGGTATTCTAAATAAATAAATTTTGCTGTTCTTATAAATGTTACATTCTTTTACATATAATGTTGTTAGGCTATGCTAAGAAAAGTAAAAGCTGTGTCTTTTAACTTTTTTTTTTTTCTGGTATTTTTGAGACATGGGTCTCCCTGTAGCCCAGCTAGCCTGGAACTCGCTATGTAGACCAGGCTAGCCTCAAACTTACAGAGATCTGCCTGCCTCTGCCTCCTGAGGGCTGGGATTAAAGGCAAGCGCCATCATGCCCCTTACAGTGTCTTAAAGTCTGTCATCTCCCCCATGTGCTAAAACTGTTCTTCACTTGACTATCTTTCCTGATTTCATGTTTCCCCAAGAGTTTGTCTAGAGCTATTGTTTTTAACATTTCCCAAATATTACTTAAAAAAACTATACTGAAGTTTTGCTTTAATAATTGAAATTTATAACTCCACTTTATTTTTATTTGACCATTAAAAAAGAAATCATTGTGTTGCTTTTTAAAAATAAGTCATGTGAGCTTGAAAGTGTTGTATCACATACTCTTAACATGGAAAGATGTCATTTTTTAAAAAACGAGCAAAAAATATCTTTCTGAAGGCGTTATTCAATTTGGGCAATTCTCCCTAGAATAAAAGTAAGCTATTAAAGGAAGTGGCTCTCTTCAGCTCTAAAACAGTGGCAAGAAGTACTCTATTTAGGCTCTTCTGGATCTCTACTGTTAGGTAGGATGTTTGAATAATGTCCCTCTGTGCAATGTAAGCACAGCACTGCTGCAGGACACACCAAGAGCGTCCAGGAAGTGCATTATTAGTCAAGAAAAAGGAAACAGACGGTGTCAGCTCAGCGATCTCCAACGCTGCTCAAAGAGAACTGGACCCTGCAAACTCCTATTGCAGACCAATCAATAAGGTCCGACTGAGTTGGACCCTGCCGAGGAAGCAAAAGCTAGCTAGCACCATGATGAAACGGTGCTGAGGGCAGGTTCCCCTCCAGTCCCACCGCCACCTCACACCTCTCCCACCCTCAAAGAGAAGCAAAACAAACCCAGCCCAACTGGGCATGGTGGTTCCTATTGTCTTGCACAACGCTGCCGCTCTTCCCCCAGAGGTTAACGGTCAGGGAGCCGGGGAGCTCCCGGGGCCCGGTCAGAGCAATGGGGCGACCTCCGACGCCGGCCCCGTCGTCCGCGCCGAACCCAGGCGGCTGGGAAGAGGCGCCGGCGGTCAGCCAGGCCTCGGCCCGAGGTCCCGCTGCGGTCCCCGGCCTCGCTTTCCGCAGGGCCCGGCCTCCGAGCGAGCCCGGCCCGCAGGGCACTAGGCCGCCGCTCCCGGCCTGCGGTGCGCCCGCCACCCGGGGCCTTACCGCCTCCACGGCGTGCTGCAGGATGGAGGTGAACTTGGAGAACATCCTGTCCCGGGACTGCAGCAGCCTCTCCCGGGACGACCTGGAGAGCTCCTCGATGCGCCGCCGCCGCCCCTGCTGCGGCTGCCGGGGCCGCTCCAGAGTGAAGGCCGGTGCGGGCCGGAGCGGGCGAGCGGAGGGCGGAGGCCGCGCTGGACCCCGAGCTGCGGCCGTGCGGGAGGCGCGGCGGCT